CTGAACTCAAGCCTTCAAGCAACATGTTCCAACACCTCCCTGGTGGTATGCTCCACGGCATACAGCTCTCCATCCCTCTGGATGGAGCTCTCCCTCTTTGACTAAAATATTTCAACACTAGAACAAAAACTGGATTCAAGATCCCCAGTGTCAGCCCCTTCGGCCCACCAGGCTGTTTATGGACCACAGCTCTGCCCTACCACGAGACACTGGGCACATGCTACCCCAGAGGAGCCAAACCTGGTGTCCAGTGGCCAGGAACATCTGGAGTCAGACCCCAGGTCTGGATGGGGCACAGCAGTGACTCTGACCTCTCAAGTCCCTGGGGAGTGTCTAGCCTGGCTAACCATGATCTATTGCTCTACTTTTCCATTTCTAAATGTCTTCATTTTCTCCTCCAGCACACTAAAGCCTCCAAAACCCACAGGGGACAGGAGCTCCTTCCCCCAAGATCTAGTGTCTGAAGGTCTCAACTTTGTATTGGCCTTTTTCATCAGTTGCCAACGCTCTCCCCAGCTGGGGCAGGTGCCGAACACCTCCCAACACCCAGCCTTATCCTTTCCTACATCAGGATATTAGCGATGTCACACTTCTGGTGTCAACAAGACATCGAGTTAAATGTTACAGACGCCTGCCAGCTGCCTTACGCATCACCCAGGTCCTGATTTGAAACTGCTGGTGTCGGGCTGTGAAAAGGAAGTGAGCAGCTCCAGCAGCAGGTGAAAAAATAAAGACTAGCTTCCTAGGAATCTGTGCCCTGAGGCTGTGGATTCCCTGATGTCTAGTAAGGGTGGAGTTGATGTTTTTCCCTCTGCAGGAGCACTTGTGGGGAGGCTGGAGGAAGATGTGACCTCTCTCCTTTACCTACCTTTTTCACAAAAGTACTACGAACTAAAATGAGAAAAGACATACATATTCCCACTGCAATCACACAGGCCTCGCTTCTTCAGAAAATAGGCTAAAAATAAACCAAAGGACTTACAGATGCTTCCTCTTGCCTCCCTTCAAATCTATTCCTTTTTCTGTCTGCTGGAGATCTCTGCAGACCCAAACAGGGTGGAGAAGAAAACAAGAAGACGTAATTTACAGA